TGTGTGTGTGTGTATATATGTATATATATATATATACGAAACAAAATCACAGCATAGTTTATTAATAACTATTTACAACTATTTGATTTCATTTAAATAATCATATTTTCAAAATGCATACATTCAAATCCTTTAGAAACAGCATACATCTGTTATTAGCAGCAGAATAAATATTACATTTATAATGTTAAAAAGTATGAACATGGTTAAATATGACTAGCGGCTGAACAAGCAATATTCAGTTTAAAATGCATGAGAGAAAGAAATCGAATTTATTGAGGATGAATATATAAACACATTGATTATTCGTTATTATTAATTTGTTAGTTTATTAGTACAATTACAGAAATCTGGCCTGTTTCATTAAGTACGACTGACAAGTATGCATCACATTAAATTTATTAGTTTACATTAAAACTAAATTTTATAAGTAATTCAAATGCTTAAATATTTCATTTAGCCCTAAATATTTTTTGAGTGCACGCAGCTCTGACATTTCCCGAATTCTTAAAAACTCACTAAAACTCTATTTTGCACTGGAACATAGATACTCGATTGACATTAGTGTTTTACTCTAAACGTGATTTACTGAAGCTGAAGGCCAAGCGAAAACAGCAGCGATTCTGGTTCTTGAACCCGGATTGTTCCTTTAAACGAGACGTTCAGCAGAATGAGACTCCGAGGCTCCTGTCGTTTCTGGACGCTCGTTTGACCGTCGTGTTTCTGGAGAAACGCCATGAAGCCGTCGTAGCGTAAGGCTGAGATTGTACGTGATGGAAGCTGCTGCTCGAAACCCCAAAGCCTTATAGACGCGGATGTTCGGCGCTCCGAACGCTTCCCTTCTGGATCCACCAAGCAGAAGCTCTCAACGAAAAACCATCATTTTAATTAACACACGGAAACAGAAAACAAACCTCTTCTCGCTACCAAAAGTGTGGCTTTCCAAAGTTTTCCGGAGATATGATTGTCTTTCCCGAGCAATGACTGGGCATTGCTGAGGGCCGACCCAGATGCATTCTGGGAAATCTGCATGCCGTGTATAAACTCGAAGCTCCTCATCGGTAAGTGTTTGAAACTGTGGTTTCTCTTTCAGAAAGGGGTCTGTTCCTTTAAGTGTTGTTCTGATATTTAACTTGACAAACAAAAAAAAAGAGAAGAATAGAAAGAAATAAAAATACAAATCAATAGAAGACGTTTCTTTTGGGTTTTTTTATAGCTCTCCACTGTTCAAAGCTGTTGTAAATTGTCTGGTTAAGAATAAAAAAACAATTAAAAAAACTCTTTTGTTCGCTCAAACCCCTCCATGTCCTTCATAAGGAGTAGGGCAGCATTTTTCTGAAGAAGCGTGTAGAGAAGCATCAGAAATACGGCTTGAAGAGTCGGCGGCGTCCGCTATCGTAACACACTGGATATCTGTAAATAGATGCGCTTTAGTTTCTATCGTTTCCTTTAATTAAAGTGTGCCATCGTTGACCTTGACTAGATCTCCTGCGTTTGGCCTTTCTTCTGTGAAACTCCTGATGATTTCTGACGGTGGCTTGTGATGTCGACTAGACTGGTTGTTTACAGTTTTATTCCTTTGATTTCTCTATATTCTGTAAATATTGTAATTCATTGTCTTTTTTTAACTTGGTAATAAAGTTATCAGATAACCTAAACGCGCGCTTCCGTGGTTTTCTGTTCAGGGGTCGAATTCACCTCATCTGTGATGGAGATATTTTACATTTCTGAATTAAAAACATTGCTTTGTTGTCAGGAATATTGGGATGGTGTCACTGTCCCGAAATCCTTATTTAAAAAAAAATAAAAAATAATTTATTGGAAAAAACATGTTATTTAACATGTATAATAGTGAAGCAGGTTTGTTAAATACTATTATTTGGGGAAATGTTCATCTAATCAAAGTCTGTGTGTCATATGACAAGAAAACCATAAAATCATTCGATTTCAAATCTAGTCTTTATACATA